GTCGCCATTAATACAAATTTAGATAATAAAGATAAAAATAAATTTCTTATTATATATTAGCAATATAATTTGCAGATTTAACAAAAACTAATTTCGGTAAATAAAATTATTATCTATAACAAGTCTCTTTACTGTTCTCTCTTTACTGAATAATAATTAACCGTAAGAAATTTTGCTACGATAGCTTATATAAAATTTACTGCGGCAGCAAATACTTTTTTTCCATGTATTAACAAGTTTTTTTCTTTTATTTCATGTATAATCTTTTTTTTAAATATTTTTTTCTGCTATTTTTTCTCGTATAAAAAAATATAAATAAATATATAAACAAACATAAGTACATTATTCAGAATAAAAATATATTGTGTTATTTAGAAAATTTATAATAATTTTTATAATAAAATTAAAAACAATTTTTATATGTTTAGAGTCATCTTTGTTCAGTAATATTATATAAGCACTGTTGTTTTCGACAACTTTTGGCCATCATGCCAAATGATGGTATACTCTTTTCACTTTTTACTTGTCCTTCTGAAAAGAGGGATCTCGGTATCCTACTCAGGTAGCTACCTGTCGCTTTTGTTCAATTGTATAACCGCATTCCAGTGATGGGGGGTGTTATAACGTAGCACCTGATCGGCTCTTAGTAACAGTGCGGAATGCACATTGTTACAACCTACCCGGCGAGCTGCTTTACTATGATTGGTTGATTTCCTATACGCAACTTGCAGTCACAGAACAAAACGGTTTTACGAATGCATCCCTCTTTTCACTTTTTACTTGTCCTTCTGAAAAGAGGGATCTCGGTATCCTACTCAGGTAGCTACCTGTCGCTTTTGTTCAATTGTATAACCGCATTCCAGTGATGGGAGGTGTTATAACGTAGCACCTGATCGGCTCTTAGTAACAGTGCGGAATGCACATTGTTACAACCTACCCGGCGAGCTGCTTTACTATGATTGGTTGATTTCCTATACGCAACTTGCAGTCACAGAATAAAACGGTTTTACGAATGCATCCCTCTTTTCACTTTTTACTTGTCCTTCTAGCAGTGAACATCGTCTAGAACGTAACGTTGGAGCGCATAGTTATTCCACGTGTTGAGTGTAATACGGAGTTTAGCAAATTATTCCAATTTCGAGGTATGTGCATAATTTTTAATTTTTCCCCGAATTTAAAATTACGAAGGAGCAATAGTAGCATGCAAAACATTAATACGAAAAATAATTGGATTTAAATGGTCTCCATCAATCTGATATTTCCACTGTTAAACATTAAACTTGGATATATGGCAAAGTTAAATACTAATTTATTTTTAATTTATTATCTCAATTTGAAATTTATTGTTCCAATGCATACATAGGAACTTAATATTGAAAGTGAGGGTGTTGGTTTAATAATCGTTCCCTGCCACGTGGATTGCATACATCTTACACCGAACTTACCGTTTTATTTGATTCTTTAAATCAGAATTTGCTTTAACTGTGATAACTGCCCAAATAACGCAAACACGTTCTATAAATATTTATAAAT